GTGTCAATGCTTTTGCGGTTCATTTCTTTTCATTGGTCTGGGAGCCAGGAAGGATAGTTGAGACACCAGATAAAAGGAAGGGATGGATCTGCGAGCCACACGGCAGTGCTGCTGCCAGGCGGTATGATGTCCAGGTGAAGTAGTTACAGAGGGGAAGATGTTCGTGACATTTGTGGTGGTGTGAGCTTCATGACAGCTCAGTGATGTGCAGAGTCGGACACAAAGCCTCACCAAGCCTCCTAGAGGAAGGGCTTCCCAGATCACAGACACACTCTCAGGGCCAAGAAAAGTTGCACCTGGAAAGTTAGGCCTCTGTACTACAGAGAACATTCTGGAGTGTGTGCTGGCAAGGTCCCCACTGCTCCTCTGTTGAAAAAATACTGTTCTCCCATCCTTCAAAGAAAAACATGAAACTCTCCTCCACATGTCTCATTCACTCTGTGTCCTCCAGACTACCCAGCCCTCTGTCTTATTTCATCGTGTCTTGCCTAGGACACAGTGGCCTACTGAGGCCAACAGAGACACAGAGCAGATCCGAGCACCCTTGGTTTAAAAACTGTGGATCCCTGTAAAAATACAGGGCCCTAGGCTATTTAAACAAAACACAACTGTTCCACACCCTTTGTGCGAGAAGATACTCTAAGTTACGCAGAAATCTCTTCTGTTCAGTCAGATATTACACTCACAGTTACTCTGCCAACAGCAGGATGATGTCTTCAAAACACCATCTTTAGTGTCTTCCCTGCTACAGAAAAGTGCCCTGAACCTGTGTGTGTGTGCGTGTGCGTGAGTGTGCGTGAGTGTGCATGTGTGTGCATGTGTGTGTGTGTGTGTGTTGATGAGGACAGAGTCTCCCAAGAGCCAGCTGTGACCCCTCCTTACTGGGCTGTGCTTAGACCAGATGCCTCAGAGCCAGGCTTCTGTGGGTCTTTGCTCCTCCACAGTTAATTTTCATCGGAGGGCTGTGTGGCGCTCTCTCCTCCTCAGGGAGCATTCTTCCACGTTACTGCAAGGTTAGACAGTGTATGGACCTCTCTTGTCTGTGATAAGCAACCTCGTAGCTTCTTGCTGGCTGTTGATTTCTTGTTGGTTGTTTGGGCCACTGCTGTGTCCCTGGAACCTATTGTCACTGGTTCCATGTACAGCCCCAGCCCTGGGCAGATAACCATGAGTGTAATATCTGACTGAACAGAAGAGATTTCTGCTTAATTTTTCTTAATCTAGAGTGTCTTCTGGCACAAAGGGTGTGGAACAGTTGTGTTTTGTTTAAATAGCCTGTGATCCTGTGTTTTTATAGGGACCCACAGTTCTTAAACCATGAAAATATCTTAAGATGGGGCTGAGAGATGGTTCAATGGTTAGGACCACTGGCTCTTGCAAAGAACTGGGGTTCAATTCCCAGCACCCCCAAAGTGCCTCATAACCTTAGGCCCCAGGTACACATGTGGTGCATATGAAAACATGCAAGTGAATACATACAAAGTAAAAGTAAATGTATAAAACAATGTTAATATCTTAAATGGAAAGTCCAAGTAAAGATCTGATGATGCTGGCTTACCTTCACAGGTTGTCTCATTAAATGGTAACTGTGTTCAGAAAGGCCCCTGTGGGAACCAGGAGCTTCAGGGCAGTGTCTTCTGGCCTTGTTGTAAATTGTGCTCATAGAAGCTAGGTTCCATCATAAAATGACAGGTTGCTTCTTCTTCCTAGTCCCAATCCAAGGCCTGTTTAACTGAAGCGCTGGTGATTCTCTGGGGCAGCACGTTTAAGGAACAAACCCCAGGTCCTTCCTCCTTTGCCATTACATTAACAAACTGGAGATGAGCTGGCCAAGGCAACTGCAGGTAGCTGTGTCAGCAAAACAGAGGCCTAGGAGGTGCAGGCTGTGTCCTGTGTCCCAGCAGCCTCCTGTAGTGTGGCACCTTACTGCCACAGTTGTGGGTTATGAAGCTGCAGAGCCAGGGCTGCCATGACCTGCTCACAAACCCTCCAGCCCAGCCTTAGCAGAAACCCCAGTCCTGGGACCTGTAGAGCCCAAGGTGGATGGGCTGTCTGCTCTGTGAGCAGTGCTCACATTTGGGGTCGGGCTTTGCACTGAAATGCTCTGCTTATTTCAACTTGTACGTTTGCCTGGCTTTGTTCTGATAGTCTTACATCCATTAAGAAAAAAAAATTACTCCTTAGCTCTCTTGACTCTGTGTTTCTATAAACAGAAAGGTATTTGGCAGTTAAGGAGTGCTACCCAAGAAGAACCAGCCCTTCTGAGGGACAGTAACCCTTTGCTACCAACTGAGGTTGCTCTGGTCCTTGAAATTTCCAACTAAGTATGTCTTGAGTCACAGGAATCCTCCTGTATTAGCAACACCTACTTATATGCTCAGGGAGTCAGGAGAGACCACTCCATGCTTCTGCCCCAGAACACATGGTTTCTAAAACCCAGCAGAGTGCACTGCACCCCTGGTGGCTCCTTAGCAGACATAAAGAGAACCCCTACAGCCGTGCTGAGATACTCACAAATACCTTGTATTTCTGACAAGACAGGCTCTTTTTTTTTTTTTTTTTTTGCAGCTTCCTGGTTGGATACCCAAGACACCTGTTGCACAAAAGTCCCCTCCTTAAACACAAGGGATCCAGAAAACTGTTTGAGCCATGTCTAGCACCGTCCCTCCCATGATGGTGCCTTCAGAGCCCAGAGAAGAACTTTGTCCTGTCACTTTCTCAGTTAATATCAGTGGCTGCCACCAGTGTCTGTGGTGTTGGGTGCCCTTAGAAAGGAAGTACCAAGGACTGAGAGCAGCTAGGAATCTTGGCTACTTCCTGTTGTGTGACCTTGGGCAAGTTACTTAACCTCTGATATCCACATCTGCTTAATTTGTATGTGAGCATAATTGAACCCACCCTTCTCAGTTTAAAAGCCTAAGTGTGTGACGTGCATAGAAAGCACAGCAGATCTCTCCTTCAGTGCTGGGCGTGACTAACGAGTGCTGTCAGTCATGGTGCACGCCCACGTTCAGATAGCAACACAAGTGGTTTGCTCCCGGACCCCCAGTAGCCATGGGCAGTATGGCTAGTGTCAGAGTCAGGAACCCTGGTTAGGAACGACTCACGTCCAGCATCCTGACTTTTGAGTGTTTGAGGGGTTTTCTGTTATTTTAAGATTCTTTATAACTGTAATGCGCACCTTTGTCTTGAGATCGTGGGCACTGCTAATGCAGAGGAAGTCATAGATTAGGGTCAGGTGATGGTGCATATGGTCACCTGCCTAGTGAGTATCATATTCTCATTTTCTTTTCTGCCTTCTTAAGAAGCCATTCTTTTCGTACACGCTATACTGCATGGCACTGGGTGTTGTAGGTGCTTAAAGAGGACCATAATTAATAACGCCTGTCACAGTGCAGACTGGGTTCTCTGCTGGGTGCTAGTTGTCTTTGTGAACCTAAGAACAGCGTTGAGAGTCAAGCACTATGGGAAGATGACTCCGGCTTTTTTATAGGGTTAGTCGAGAGGCACTAAGTAATGGTAGCTGTACCCGTGCCAACTACAGTGGGCGCTCTGAGGCTGGACACTCTGGACACTTGCACTGGCTCCCAGAGCCATGTGTGCATGCGCTGTCCTTTCAGGAACATCTTCCCAAGTCTCTGGTGAGGATGGGTTAAGAATTTCCCTGAGTGGTTTGTAACATTTATGAGAAGGAAAAGCAAACGCTCAAACCTTTGATACTTTGATTAAAAAAAAAAATAGTTCTTAATTTCTTATATAAGCCAGAAAGTCGAATCCACTAGAAATTGATGCACAAAAGAATATGATCTTAATGGTTTTGAACAATAATTTATTTGACTCATTTAAATCTTGTGCTGCTGTTGACTGCTCTATGTTAAGAGCTACCAGGGTAGCTTAGAGAATGACGAGGCTGGCTGGCACAGGGAGAGGAGGAGTGACCGTGAGCCTCCTCTCAGCAGAGTCGTAGATGGACTGGGGCAGGCTTTTCAGAGGTGCAGTGTTTACCGAAGGCAAGCTTAGCTTGTACTGGGAGAGCCCCATAACGGTTCTGCACACGTTGCTAGTCCTCCTGTTGCAGTGAGTTCTCCCTGAGAGCTCCATGCACTTAGCACAGCCCCTCTCCCATCTAACTCAGCAGCCAAGAGTGACAGGAAACTGAGTCCCCAAGAGGTGGCATCTCCTTTAGTTCCTCCTTCCCATGACTCCACTCCCATAAGTCTTTCCTCTTCCCCACTCTGTGAACCACATGTGTACGTGCGGTGTTACTATAGGACCTAATTTAAAAACTTAAATGATAGGGCTGGGGTGGAAGCAGGGCTCTCTCTCAGAGCTGTTTTATCAGGAAATTGGGGACAAAGGTTTGCTCAGTGGCTTTTTTCACTTCTGACTTCTGGTTTTGACGTGAGGGTCTTAGTGGTGTGAGTAGTCTGATCTTGTCAAGCTTTAGAGCTGGAGAGCCCAGTGGTTAAGAGCACATGTGCTCTTCCAGAGGACACGCCCATCAGGCAGCTCCCAGCCACCTGTGGCTCAAGTCCCCATGGGCACACGTGTATTCATATTCTCTCTCGATCTCGCGTGCTCTCTCTGACACACAACACACACACACACACACACAAAATAAGTCTTAATGCAGCATGAGGCTATAGCTCAGCCTTAGAGTGTTGGGGTAGGAAGTGTTAGCAGATCAGGGTGGAATTTGATCCCTGGTGCCAAAAATGATAAAGAAAAAAACAGTATTTTTTAAAAATTGGAAATTGATTTGGCGTACTTTTGTAATTCCTGTTTTAATTTCAAGTCCCTTACTCCTGCTTCTGTCTATCATGACACGATTAAGAATGTAACTTGTGCACTTGAGAGTCACATATTGAATATCTTCCCACCAGTAGAGTCAAGCCTCTCTGCAGAATACCAGCCCTGCCCCTGCATCTTGAGATGAGTCTCAGGTCACCGTCCAGGCACCGTGGTGTTCAGTGGATTGTGTCTGTTCTCTCTTCCTGCAGGCAAGGCAGTTTTCCCGGCATGAACCAGAGTGGCCTTGTGGCCTCCAGCTCTCCCTACAGCCAGCCCATGAACAGCAGCCCCGGCCTGATGAGCACCCAGGCCCAGCCCTACAGCATGGCACCCACGATGGTGAACAGCTCCACAGGTAAGCAGCATCTCTGCTTTTGAGGGCCACCCTGTCTTCCTCTGCTCTCCTCTTAGGCACATGGTGAATGTGCCCCAGTGGCTTGAAAATGGCAGAGTCCCCAGCGCACAGGGATAAGTGTACTGTTCTGCTTCAGAAAGCTTGCTTAGTCTGAGACTTGAGGTGACAGTATACTCGAGGTAAATATCTTTTCATTGTTTGGATAGTGCACCCACATGTTTCAAGTATCTCTGGTTGCAAACTGCACATTCTACATTCTCTTTGTTATTAAGAGAGGTATTAAGAGGGTTGAAGGGTCCCAGAGCAGAAACTGTCACTTGACAGTGGTATAGGTAAACAGCCAGATTGTGCTGAATAGGAAGCTCTGCAAGCTGAGTGGAGGGAGATCTTCTTCTCCTGCTCAGGGCAACTACTCTCTGGGTGTGTGGCAGTTGGCAGCTCCTGAGTGCTGTCTATAGCTGTCTCTAAAGAGAGCTGTCCTCGCTGTGTTTAGTCCTCTGTCCCCTTTGTACTAGTCATTCTTGCCTTCTTACAAAGTCAGGCCTGCTTTTCCAAACCAAAGCTTCCCAGAGATGAATGTTCCATCAGAAGTGGGAACCTGGGATTCCGCTGACCAGTAGCACCTTTTTGGTAGGATTTGTCCATTGTTTCACACAGGCTTGATGGCAAGTCCTCTGTGCTTTGGAACATGTCAGGAACGCGTTGTAAGCCCCTGCTCTCTGTGTCTGTATCCTTGAGAGGCCCACCCTGTTCCCAGAGCTCTCTGTCAACAGCCCAGAGGGGCCAGGCATGGGCCTCATTCAACAGTGGCCTTCCTCATCAGTCCTCTGTAATTTTAGAAAAAAAAACACAAACTAAAGCGTGGGTCAAAAACAGAGGGTCTGCAGTACCTAAGTATTGCTTCCTAGTGTTAAGCAGGTGGTGGTTCATCAGTGAAATGAAGTATACAGATCTAGCAGCCTGCCCGCTGGGAGCCACCACCTCCCTGCAATGCTGCCCTGGCCTTAGACGGTCTGGGCTGGGATGGCAATATGTTCTGTCTAGCTTCCTGAGATAAAAAAAAAAAATTATTCTGAAACTGGAATAAATTTCTATCTAATGTTATCGGCACTCATTTTTCCTTTCTTCTTTAAACCCCAGAGCCCCCAAAATACTAACAACAAACAGATGGCGCACAGCCCTGACTAGAAGATGTATGTATTCTTAAGCAAGAACCAGGTTTATGGGGACTCAAAGAAAGGGCTTCACTTTATTATTCTGATAATTCAGCGATTCATTGCTTCATGCAGAGGAAATCTGTTCAATGAAAGGCCATTTATCCTTACAGCTTTCTGTAGAGCATAGTAGTATGTTTTTCATGCATTGTACATTTCAAAACATTGAATTTTTAATAATTTAAATATTTATCAAATTTTGTTCTCCACATTTATGTGATTTTCCTTCCACATTATCAAGTTGGATGCTACAAAGCCATCACTCAGCACACCCAAGGAGGACTGACAGCTAGTGTTTCTCGTGTCTGTTGACAGGTCTGTGTGAGTCTATTGTGAGTATTACTCTCAAAGGGACAGGAATGTTAGGATTTCAACAGTGCTCCTCCTCCCTCTCTGTGCTACCCTACACAAAGAGAGTGGCTCGTAACATCCACCTCCGTGGCTTGGGACCATGGAGATGATAAAAGCCCAAAGGTAGCAGAAACGTTTTCCTTCATCAGGGTACCCTAGAGAGGAAGGAAGGCAACAGAGAGATACAGGCAGGCAGGCCAGCAGTGGCGTTTTCTGAGATTCCATTACCAGTCCCCATACATCCTTAACAACCCAGCATTCCTTTCACTGAGCCAAACAGTACTGTTGTACAAGGTGATCATCACCAGAAAAAAAGATCCTCATGTGTAGTGGTGACATTGTCACCGGCCTCAGTGAGCAAGTAATTACTTAAGCAGAATCAGTGTGCATGTAAGGATGGCAGCCGTCTCTGCCTGAGAGCACCAGTGGACGTGCACCAGTGGGCATGGGGTGGGAAGCAGCAGACTTGCCCTTGGATGGAGCAGTTGGCTTCCATGGGCGTTGATGGTCTCTTCACATTTGGGATTGAAGTTTGTTTTTAGCAAGTTGTATTAAAAACTAGAATTATTTAATACAGCAAGTGCACAATTAATAAGTACAAGTCTTTGGTAAACCAGTTCAGCCGTCCGCCCGGCCTGTCCTGTGACGGGAGCATTTCTGTGTGTCCCGTCTATAGCACTCCTAGGTGCTTGTCTGCACACAGGGCATCTCTTCCAAGCGGGTGTGTACATTCCAAAGGCAACAAAGCTCTAAGCTCGCCTCTCTAGAGTTACTCTGTAGAGGCCAGGCTTTTCCTCTGTGCCTTCCCTGTAGGATAGAGGAGCACCCGTCCACTGCTACAACAAAACCTCCCCACAGGATTTGAAGTCCTGAGCAATTTCTCGCACCAGACGTTGAAAGGGGAGCTTGTGAATCAGAAGTTCAGTGGACTTCTGATAGCGCCTGATTTCACGGAGTGCCACAGTGCCAGGCCTGTAACGATGAGGTTTCTTCACCCCTCCAGTAGAGGGCGCACTCTTGCAAGCGGCTTTTGTAGCCAGTTGTTTCCTGGGTGCTTTACCACCGGTGGATTTGCGGGCAGTCGCTTCCAGAGTGCAGCTATTGGTGCTTTGCAGGAGGCAAGTGAGGCCTATCTGGTTGGCCTTTTTGAAGATACCAACCTGTGTGCTATCCATGCCAAACGTGTAACAGTTATGCCAAAAGATATCCAGCTAGCTCGCCGCATACACAGGGAGCTTGCTTAAGAGTCCACTATGAGGGGAAACATTTCATTCTCAAAAAAAATTTTTTTTCCTCTTCTTCCTGTTATCAGTAGTTCTGAATGTTAGATATTTTTTCCATGGGGTCAAAGGTACCTAAGTATATGATTTCGAGTGGAAACATAGGGGACAGAATCAGGTATTGGCAGTTTCTCCACGTTCATTTGTGTGTGAATTTTTAATATAAATGCAAGATGTAGAGCATTAATGCAAGCAAAATGTTTCAGTGAACACATTTCAACAGTTCAACTTTATGACAGTTATAAATAAACCTGTTAAAATTTTCTGGACAATGCCAGCATTTGGATTTTTTTTAAAATAAGTAAATTTCTTATTGACGGCAACTAACTGGTGTTTGTAGCATTTTTATCATCCAGTAGGTTCCATCCGTCACTATACTTTTCTAACTAAGTTGTCCTACATGCAAGGACATGTTTTTAATGTTGTCTGTCTTCTGTGCTGTTCCTGTAAGTTTGCTATTAAAATACATTAAACTATATATATATATATTAAAAAAAAACCTCCCCACAGGCAGATGTAGCCAGATTCGAAACTCAAAAGTGCACCCACCGCCAGCTCTGGCACTTCTTTCTTTCTTTTTTCTTTTCTTTTTTTTTTTTTTTTTTTTTCTTTTTGGTTTTTTCGAGACAGGGTTTCTCTGTGTAGCCCTGGCTGTTCTGGAACTCACTCTGTAGACCAGGCTGGCCTCAAACTCAGAAATCTGCCTGCCTTTGTCTCCCAAGTGCCGGGATTAAAGGCGTGCGCCACCACCGCCCGGCCTGGCACTTCTTTCTGAAGAAGTCAGTCGTACTACCTCAGAACTACACCAGGACTGCCTACTGCAGGGTGTGTGCAGTCCTGTTACAGCTGCAGATCCTGTCTGACTTCTGAGGGTCTGTCCAGGAGGCTGCATTATTAATAAGCTGCTCAGGTGATTTTCACAGGAGTGACAGACACAGCTAGGTACTAAAGTACCCCCTAATCAGTAGTCCCTAATCAGTCACCCTCCATCTTCAAGAAAAAAACAGGCAGGCAAACCCGAGACAAGGGAGGAAGCAGTCTAACTAGGGATGAGGAAGAAAGCAAGGTGAGGGCCTTGATAAACCATGATGGAAAGTTTCTACGTTCAGAGACACCCATGCTGAAGCCTACCAAAGTGCATCAGTGTGCCGTGCTCCGTGCTCATCCTGGCTGGAGGAGGGGCTTACCTCCCTCCTGGAGTAGGCCAGGCTCCAGGGGCCAGCTCAGAGACTGATGACTGTGCACATTACAGGGTCGTGCATGCCTCATGTTCACTGGCACTCCCACAGAAGGCTGTGGTAAGAGGAAGACTCTTCTTGCCAGTGCTGTGAGGAAGAATGTTTCCCTGAAGATCTTCATGCAGCTCTCCTATGTGCTGGGTTAATCATGCAATATGTATGGTTACATATCTGCCACATGCCAAATCTTCAGATGATGCTTGAGATACTGGGGCAGGAGGATCACAGTGAGTTGAGGCTAGCCTGGACAACATAGTTTGCTCTAGGATAGCCTAGGCTGCAGAGAGAGCCAGCTTGTTTGAAAAAATAGTAATGGCAATTCATGAAAAATTTAGGCCTTTCTTGTGTCTCTACAATATGGAATATTACCAAAAAAGGAACAGAGCTTGTATGTTTCACTGCCTTCTGGGAATGGTTGCAACTATGTAACAAAACTGAGAGAGAAGCTCAGAGGAAGCTTCACTCAAGTCCTGTGTTTCCTGTGTCTTTGGGAATGCATCTAATCTAGCTACCTTAGGACCTTGACCCCTGGTGCTTTAAGGAGTCATTTTAGCTCTTAAATTCCAATGGTAGAGCCAGAGCCTGTGCTTACAGTGTGTTTACATCGTCTATCACCCAGGCTGCCCTTGCCGTCCCTGGCCATGCCTGCCCAGACTTCACACCCTAGATCTCTGGGAATTGGAGAAATAGCAGTTCCTTGATATACAGTGTCCTGAGGACAGCGGTGTGGTCTCTCTCCTGAGGAAAGAGAAAGAAAACATCCTGCCCCTGAGAGACCACTGCCCTGGAGAGAGCAGATATACGGCTCTGTGCAGTGATTCAAGTCAAAACTAAACATTTCAAGAAAAAGAAAAGCCACAGTAGGAAAGACAGTGTGATCACGTGATAAAAGAAAAACCCTACGTTATCCTCCATGGTAGTCCATTCCCATCCTCCATGGGAGTCCATTCCTCTATCCTCCATGGTAGGGCAGTGCACATGCGTCTGTGTATCTAGGGTGCCCAGGTTAATGTACATAATAGAGAATGAAGAAAGTTGGGGACTTTCAAATGTCACATATGTTTATGTTCATCTGAGTCTGCTTATGAAATCAGTGTGAGTTACTGCTGATTATTTTAATACAATTGGCCTAGCTCTTTCTGCTTAAAATTACTTTTGTGTACATTAATGTGTAAAATGCATAAAACATATTACTATTCACTGCCAAAATACTGTCCAGACATAACTTACAAATGCTGGCAGAACAGTCCACTGTTACCTCTGGAGCAGCAGGATTTGATAGAAGCCACATGATATGACCTTCCCTCACTCTAAATTGTGCTGCCTGTCATTGCTCTGAGCGACTGCAGAAGAGCAAGAACACACAACCGTTCATGCTCAGGCCCTTTCTGGCCTGCACTGCTTTTCTTTCCTCCTCCTCTTCACCAGGCTCACTAATTCCTGCCTCCCCGGGCCCTGCAGAGAAGCCGCAGGAAGCAGCCGCCACTCTGAACAAGGCTGGCTCTGCTAGAATATCACTCAGATGCCCTTTTTTTTTTTTTTTTGAGGTTTCACACATTCACAGAAATAACACATTTTTAGCTGATCCCAATAGATTTTTCTCTGCAGCTGCATCACTTGAAAAAGCTTTTTGTTCTAGTTCTTAAAGTCTAAGTATTGAAAGTAATTTGGGGGAAAAAAAAGAAAAACATCTCAATTATGATCTGTGAGTGTCTCGATGCCTTTAAGGACTAACTGAGCTGCAAACAGGCTCCAAAACCCAGCTAGTGTGCCTGTGACAACACAAGCTTTCAGAGCACGGTACTGAGTGTGCCGATGTAAACTCCAGGGCACGTGGCAGGGCAGGCTTTCTTGGCAGGACCTGTGGTCTCAACCTGCAGCGATGCTAACGATATTAACAAATTAGCACCATGGCGCTTGCCAGCTAACTCACCAGAGCCCGCTCATTCTCTCCCTGCTGTAATTAAAACTAATTATTTTCTAAAACATAGTAATACATGAATATGTGCAGCAGTCGTTTTGTAGTGGCGATCTGCAGGGCCTGTTTCAGGCTGGTTTGCTTTTCCTTATTTCTAGTACATTGTGCTCCATGGATCCTGCCTGGCTGAGCCCACACTTGCCATGGCAGCATCTGGGGCAGGTCCTGTTTATGACACCTCAGGGTTCTGTCATCTTGACAGGGAGTGAGTGTAGATCACTGCCTCAGTGTCCTCAGTGTCTTTACACATGTATTTAGCACATCTAGTGCAGGGATGTGCAGATGGCTCTCTGGTGGGTTCCACGGAAATTGAGCTCTGTTCTCTCAATAAGTACACCACTTGTCCTCTGTGTTTGGATTCTTCCCTTAAAACGAAATGAAATCTTCGCCTGAGCATGTCTGTTGGTCTCTACAATGAGTATGTATGTGTCAATTGTCTGAAACTTTTAACAGGGCCTAGATGGGGCTGCTTCACTCAGCCGAAGATAGGTAGGGGTGGTGACTGCAGGCTCTGTGCTAGCTGAAGGGACAGCAGCCCACTGTAAAGTCATAGGAAGCCTCCCTAAGTCCTCTGTGTGGCCCTCCTCCTTCATAGACCATGTGAAGCAGCTAAGAGTTTGCGAACAGAGATTACTTGAACTGAGGAAATAAAAGGCCAAGCCATCTAGAGCCTAGCTGGATACTGAGCTGCTTGCAAGGTGCCATGAGTGATTCGTGTGACTGCCCATTTCCTCTTGTTCGCTGCTATCTTAAGCTGTGATAAAGAAAAAACAAAAACTATTATAAATTAGCCTTGGTGTTTGGGACTCTAGAGCATACAGTCTGCCATTCCCCCATGTAAAGCATTTCATATAGCAGCATGTTTCAGGATCCCGTGGGTGGGTTGGTTGGTTGGTTGGTTGGTTGGTTGGTTGGTTGGTTTTGCCCTTTCTTTCTTCCAGGGGAAGCTTGGGTGTCAGCACTTCACTCAGTAGCTCATGTAAGCGGGGATGCCACGGTACGGCCCGAGAATAACACTGACTTTCCTCCTGTTTTCCATTAGCATCTATGGGTCTTGCAGATATGATGTCTCCCGGTGAATCCAAACTGTCCGTGCCTCTTAAAGCAGATGGTAAAGAAGAAGGCGTGCCTCAGCCTGAGGGCAAGTCAAAGGTACGTCCTCCCCACACACCAAGGTCCTCCAAGCACTCCAAGATCCTCCCCACACACCACAGTCACTACCTGCGTGCTAATGTCCTCTGCACACCATGGCCCTCCTGGCATGCTATGGTCCTCCCTGCATACCATGGTCCTCTTGCATGCCATAGTAAGTCTCCCCTGCAAGGCACTTGCTCTTCTTGGCCTGGTACTGTGTCGCTATCCCATGAGTCTCCTCTCTGCATGCCTTCATGTGCCACATGTGTACGGTCTTTTCTCTCCTCCTGCATATTCCCTGCGGTGTGGATATGAAAGTTACTGGTTCTAATGGCGGTAAATCACCATGGGAGTGGGGAGGGGAACAAAACTTACCTGAGAGATGCTCTTTGGGGAAGCAAGGGATCTCTGTTGCCTGGTGTGGACACTCGGAGTCATTTTCTCTGCCTTCAGTTTGGAGCCTCCTGCTTTGGCCACCCCAGCAACAGCATCCATATTGTTTTGCTTCCCTACCTTATTTCATAAATAAGGTAAATAGCTCTTTATCTTTTCTCTTTCTTTCTGGAATAATGGGTAATTCATGCTTAGCATTTTGTTTAAGCATGGTGGCTTTCTGGTCTTTCCAGCATCCCTCACAGTGACCAGCGTGTCTGTATGTCTGTGTGTCCATGTCCGTGTCCGTGTCCGTGTGTGTGTGTGTGTGTGTGTGTGTGTGTGTACATGTCTTTATACAGCTGTGATATATATAGAGATACGTACACACACATACACAATTAGTCTGTTAAACTGGATGTACTTTTGTTTTAGATAGAGTCTGATGTAACTTTGTCTTTTTCTTGTTCCCCTCCCACAGGACAGCTACAGCTCTCAGGGTATCTCTCAGCCTCCAACCCCAGGCAACCTGCCCGTCCCTTCCCCAATGTCCCCCAGCTCTGCCAGCATCTCCTCCTTCCACGGAGATGAGAGTGATAGCATTAGCAGCCCAGGCTGGCCCAAGACTCCATCAAGCCCTGTAAGTGGCCCTGGTTGTTTAACTCTTTTTTGATATTTTAAGGTCTGGGGGTATAGTTGATTATGCTTTATTGTTTGGCAGTTTGCTTTATAAGACTCTGCATTGTTGATCCATGAAAAAGCTTTTTTAAAAAAAAAACATAATCACATTAGTAACAGAACAAATTTATGTGTGCCATAGATCTTTCTGGCATTATCAGCAGCTACTCTGAGGTGAAGGCCAACATCCACAGGGAGGTGTGCCGAGGCTTTGGGGGCCCGACTCCTCCAGGAGTGCAGGCTCCATGCCATAGACGGTTTCTCTAACAGCAGCTGCTGCCATTTGCAAGGGAGCTAACAGCGGTCATGAGAAAATGATGCATTTGGCTCCGGGTTTAACTTTGTCATAGGCTTGTTATATCTAAAACATATTCCGAAGCTGTGTATCCGAAATAAATGAATAAATATTGCACCCAGGTACAGCATACCACAGCAGCAGCCCTGCTTCATTCTATGTCTGAAGTTGACAGAGGTGTGGAGATTCTAGTGCGTGCGAAGTTTTAGACTAAGAATGTGTACATGCATCAGAGCCATTAGGAAGACGGGACTCATTCCACACAAAACTGCTGGCAGTCTTGAGCTAGGTGTGGTGTTTAAAGGACAGCAGTGTACATTCCAGGAAGTGCTCTGTTGATCACCAAGTTGGACCTTTACTCCTTCTAAAAAAATTATTCTGAACCAATAAAAATAAGTAGTGTGTCACAGTAACCTTCTTATCGTACACTCATACAGGGAATCAAAAGATCTTTAAAGATTGTTTAAAAACCTAACATGCAGTTGATGGACAAGAAACTCACCTAACACCACTGATTTCTGTAAGACAGCGTATTAAAGAGCCCAGCTCAGGACAAATCGGAGGGAGGAAGCCCCTGGCTGTGCAGGCTCTGCCAAACTAGTCAAAACCCAAGAGGAGGCTGCTGTTAACTACCCACTCGCTGGATAAGACAGACAGAGCCCAGCTGGCTGAAGGGCTAGGACTGAGCACACCTTAAGAAAGCTCAGCTGTAGCTGCCATCTTCCTTCTCAGAGCAAGGAAGGGTGCTGTGGGTGCTCCCCTTGTGGCTGATGGGGTCCAATTTTGAGATAACCGGGATGAGACATGAACCCTGGAAAGAGAGAGCACAGACTCTTGTTTTTATGTGGTGTGCTGTTTGCTCTGAGTCTCTGAAGGCAGGCAGTACTGTGTATTTTTTCCTTCTTTCTCTCCCTTTCTTTCTCTTGATAACAGGAAAAAGTATATGCATTAGTAATACTAAATGAATGGGAAGAATTTAAATACATTTGCAAAACCATTTGCATATTGACTCAGTGGTAGAAAAGGATAATCACTGACCATGAAGACCACTAGTGAAGGAATTACAGGTGACTGAGGCTGCTGTGTTCTAACTTCCACTCAGTCTGACTTACCCAGCAAGGCAAAATTCTGATCAAAATTCTACTTTCTAGCTGGATGTAGTGCCACAAGCCAATAATCCCAGACTAGGAAGGTGAAGCAGGAAGGCTCCAGCCTGGGGTATATAGCAAGACCTTACCTCAAAAAAATGTTTTTTCAATCTTATTTAAATGTAATAAAAAAGCAAACTAAAGTATTGACCCCATTTCCGGATAATTACACTTGAAATGTCGTGTTTTTCTTTTTTAAAAAACTATTACCACATATATTATCTCTCTATATACCATAAATTGTTTTGTGTTTAAGAGTTTACAGCAAATCCTGGCTCCAGTGCTAAACAGGGGCAGGAGAAGCCATGTTTGCTACCCCGAAAATACTAGACTCCTGCTGTGCACTCTGCTGGGCTCCTTTCCCCAGTGAGCTAGTTATTCTGGCAGGAAGGAAGAGGGTAGAGCACAGGTCTTGCCATTGTTGCCTCAGAGCACCAGGGGCATCTGCGAGTCAGGAGGAGCTAACCGTTCCTTCTGGGATACCACTTGATTCTGTGCTTGAATGTGCTCTTAATACTGTCCCCAGTAAAGCTTTCCTAACAGCAGGCATGAACCAGGCAAAGCTGCTGTGGTTGCTTTGATAGCACACTGTGGACCAACACTGCTTTGTTAGGAAACATTCTAAAATATAAATAAACATTTGTCCATACACATATACATAGAACTAAGCATATGGTAAAGACTGCAGAAATGTAAATCTGCATCAGAGACTTGAGGAAATGTGCGTTTTAGCTTAATTAAACTGTATGCAAGGAAAACATTGGTGGCACCATAAGAATATCTCACTGTAAGTTTTCAGACATCCGTTCCTTTTTTTTCCCCCTCCCCAATGGTTTCAGAACCTGGGATACAGTATTCACAGCACAGAAGCAGTTCCAGGTGGCTCTCGGACACCCGCAAAAGTTACCGGGTCCTACTTAAGGCCTTTTCTACTGTCAGAGATAGTGTCTCATAATCAGAGTCCTCAAGAGGGGACTGGGGAGATGGCTCAGAGTTGTTAGAGCTGCTCTTGCAAAGGACCTGGGTTTAGTTCCCAAGACCCATTGGTGACTCACAGCTATTGTAACACCAGTTCCGGAGGATCCAGCACCCTCTTCTGGCCTGCATGGCACTGTACATATACGATACACATACACATGAAGTAAAAATAGATCTAAAAGAAAAATAAAAACTTCCTCAGAGAGTCCCAACAGCTAGTGTCTAGGAAAGAGAAAGAGATGAGTTTTGTAGCATCAGTAAGCACACGTGCTCTCTGTCGGGCCCTGCCTCTCTGTTCTCTCTTTAGGATAGTGGTTGGCTCACCAGCAAGCCTTGGGCCAGGAAGATGTCTGCTGTTGCTCTCTCAGCTGTAGTCTCCCTATGATCACTGTGTTCATGACACACCTTTCTCTTTTGTCCTGTGAAGATAATCTGAATCTATTGTTAATTCTTACCTGAGCACTGTTAGACTTTTCATGCATTTTTTGCTACGTCCGAGCATTTATAGAACACATCTAAGACCATTGGTGTGAAGGACGCTGCTGAGTGAGTGGAATCAGAATCAACAAGCTTAACTCCTAGGTAGGAGAGCAGTCATCAGCCCACTGTAGAACAAAGCTTGACACACTGTAAACGAAGTACTGCAAAGGAGGAATCCAGCCTGTGCTGGGATGAAGCTGAGCTCGGGTATGGCCAGCAGGCCTCCTGAGAGGTCATCACATAGTCCCCTACATGCGTCTGCTATGGGAAATGCGTTGGGGAAGATGTGAAGGTCGGCAAGAACTATTTGAGGTAGAGAGATGGCTTAGATGCTGTACTTGCTGAGGACCCAGTTTCTACTCCCAGTAGCCACAGCCCACGTCATGGGTCTCACAACTGCCTGTACCTCCAGTTCCAGGTGATCCATACCCCTTTTTTAGACTCAGTGGCTATCTGTATGCAGGCACGGGCATGCACACAAACACCTTAAGTATAGTCAATTCTTATCTAAAGTAATTTTAAATAACTTGAAGTTTAAGTTCAACCCTGAAGTAAACCCTTAAAGATCACTTACTTACCATTCTAACTGGGTCATCTCCCCTAGCCTACCTACCCTTCTGGACTAAGGACTGGATTTAGACCTTGCTGTATACTATCAGTGAGCTCTGTCACCTACACTTTACTGCTTTATTTTCTTTCAGTTTGAAACAGGGACTCAAGAAACTGTCCAGTCTAACCTCAAACTTGTGATCACCTGCCTGTAGTGTTAATCCTTCAGACTACTGACACAAAATATGTTTACATAAAATATATAAACATGGGTGACCTGGGACCAGCGGTGCAAGTCTGTTCCCATAGATGGGAAGCTGCCACTTGTGACAAGCCTAGAGAGTGGCTTCCAGAGTGGTGGGCAACCATGCTGGGGCTCTTGTCTCACTCACACTGAGTGGCTCATAAACCCACTAGCTTGGAGGCACACCTGTCTCCTGCCTGTGGTTCCTGTCCCCCACCCCCACCCCACCCCTGCACATTGCTGCAGCAAGCACCGGGGATCTGTTCTACAACGTGACTTCGTCTTCATAAGAACATGTTTATTAATCATTTTTATTTTGAGAGAAAAAAGTAGGAATGTATTTGTTGGTGATGGAGGACTTGGTGACATCAGACATTGACCACGGGCACTCATTCTCTGGGCTGCCAGCCTTTTATTTTCCAAAGCACATGAGACCTCACTGGGATCTTGTCTTCTAGATTCAACACTTCTATCAATGTGCTTATTTCAGTTTCATCGTTTGAGGTGTTAAAATTAAGAGTCTGGGACCTTTCATTTAAAGTCATAGTATGTTACTTAGGAAAATGTATAGTTTGTGCCCGAACTTGTGGCCGTTATTGCTTGGCTGCTATGTGGTAGCAGCAGTGTTTGAATGTATTTCTTGTGCTCGTCAACTCGATGATCTTCTCTTACCTTTGTCCCCTCCACCCGATCCCCTCCACCCGATTCCTGCCCACCATGCCCACCACCACATCCTCTGACACTAGAAGTCCAGCTCGTCTTCCACCACTGGGGAGAAGATCACAAAAGTATATGAGCTGGGGAATGAGCCAGAGAGGAAGCTGTGGGTCGACCGGTACCTGACGTTCATGGAGGAGAGGGGCTCCCCGGTCTCCAGTCTGCCGGCCGTGGGCAAGAAGCCCCTGGACTTGTTCCGACTCTATGTCTGCGTCAAAGAGATTGGAGGCTTGGCGCAGGTGAGCCTGAGTCAGGGTGGTGCCGCAGGCAGGCTTTTGGTGTGCGACTCGGTTCCGGATGTTGTGCTTGGTTCTGACTTTTCTCACAGAGAAAAAGCTAAGCCTGTAGGATGGTCCCCTTCCTAGGACTCTGTAGTGTTTGGAGAGAGAGACCTACGGTTCCTGACTCCGTTACCAACTCCTGTGGCCTCAATTCCCTCCTCTGTACTAGACCAGTAGACCTTTTCCCAGGCAGCTCTAGAATTCTCTGGAATCTGCTACAGATTCATGGTAAATACTCCAGAAGTATTTTAGAAAAGACTAAATTCGTTGTGGATCAGATAAAAATCAAATTCACTATTTTTCTGTATCCAGAGCAACTAATAAGTTCAACCCTCATATAGTGGGGCTTGCCTGTAACTCCATAGATTGGGAGGTAGAGACAGGAGGATCAGGAGTTCAAAGCCAGCCACAGCTGTGTGAGAAAGAAAAGAGAAACAGGAATTCAGTCATAAGGGTAAAGCCATGCCAACAGCTCCTGGATCACTGCAGTATTGTAGTGACCCACAGGGCTGGGACGCTGGGTGAGCAGGTACAGAAGCCAAGGTGACGCTCACTTTCTGTCTGTGCAAAACACCCACCATTGTTGTCTGTCAGAGTGAGTGTCTCCTAAACCCTTGTCTCCTTGACACTCCACTTTGCTCACCCCATTATTTTTGGTGAGGGGTCTGGTTGAAATGGGCGTGTACCTCACCTCACCATGGCCTTAATCTAGGTATATTCACAAGGCTCAGGCCACTAACCCCAAGAATTGATGAGGAAATTTGTATATAAGTAAATTATAATAATGTTACCACCCCGGCGTGCGGGTGGGTAAGCCACAGAACCAGGCCTGTCTGATGGAAACGTGAGCTTTTCCAGTGGCTCCTGCCATGGCTGGGGACCACCTATGGACTTTCTAAAGACTGACCATCCAGACCCCAGCCCTAGGTCAATGCTGTGGAGCTGGCTGGGTCCCCAAAAGCCTAATAGGCAGTTGGAATGAGATAGTAAACACCCCATCAAAGTAACTTGTCACCCTAAGGGTGTCTGAGGTTTCCGTGTTTCAGTTCTGTGATTCTGGGGTGCAGGGCAGACCTTCCCTAGTGCCTGCCCCCCACAGGACTGAAGCCTATAACTAGATCCATTAGAACTCAGGCCTAGCTCTGCAGAATCCCACATCACATGCTGGGTAGACCACCTCTCCCGTGTCTTCCTATGCCCCTGCCCCTCCCATTCTGCTCGTCTCTCTTACGCTGGACTCTAATGCAAATCCCCAAGACTAAAGCACTAGAATCCAGTCATCAGGTGGTGTGTGGGGCTCTGGTCTGGCTCCCTGAGTTATGCCAGTTAAGCAGATTATACCTGCACACAAGCAACTCTGCAGCTTAGCCAGTGCATACCCAGGGGATACCAATGCTGTCCCCCACCAACAAGCTGCCCTGACAGCTCAGATCCTAGCACTCTGGTTGGCTGTCTCTGAAGCAGCCGTAGCCTGCTGTTTGCACCCACTTCCGTTAAGAGCTGAAAGAGGTGTTTCCCAGAGCAATCAAGTAGTGTGTTTATTGTTGTGACTATTTAGTGCTAAGTAAGTGGATATAAAGAGCCTTGTGCCAAAGTTTGGATCCAGTAATTCATTAATTCATGACCATTGCAAGCTACTCAACATAGCACCCGTCCAAAAAGACACATGCTTTTGTCTTCTCTCAGGTATTTGTATGTTCATGTTTCATTCATGACTTTAAGTTCTCATAACCCGTTCTAGGTTGGAATGAGAAAGTTGAAGCAATGCCCCACATCTATGTATCTCTCTCTGCCCTACCACACACACACACACACACACACACACACACACACACATTCATTCATCTTCTCATGGAGTGCTGATGGGAACCCCTGTAGGACATACACATACCCGTGTCCCAGCCACTCAGCTGTTAGCCCACACTCCAGCCAGAGAGCAGACGGCATTTCCTGTGCCCATCTCACAAGCAGCCTCAAGCTTCATGGGAGACTGCAGCCAGGGTCACAGGGTCACACTCTGGCTGTTGGAAGGGAGCGTAACTTTTTCCTGTAAGAATGCTGCCATTATTTCAGTTAAGGCACCCTTTTCTCTTAGAGATGAGGAGTGTGTGTGTGTGCGCGTGCGTGCGTGTGTGCGTGCGTGTGTGCGTGTGTGTGTGTGTGTGTGTGTTGAGTTCTCCATTCATTCTGGGGCTCAGAAATCTGGAGGCTCTTATTCAAGTCTATAGGAGATGTAGCAGGCAGAGACCCCAGCAAGTGGGCTTTTATGTAGCCATCAGCAGGTTCCTTAATGGTTTTATAGCTGTAAATGCTGTCTGTGTGCTGCTGAGTGGGAGTGATGAGCATTAGTTAAAAGAGGCAAATGAAAAAAGTAAGCCAAGACATTAAGTGCTTGTTTGTCTCCCAGCTTTAAACAAGCCACTCTGCCGCGAACCAACCATCCTGCCCATTTTTTTGCCAGGTTAATAAAAACAAGAAGTGGCGCGAGCTGGCAACCAACCTAAACGTTGGCACTTCAAGCAGCGCAGCCAGTTCCTTGAAAAAGCAATATATTCAGTACCTGTTTGCCTTTGAGTGCAAAATTGAGCGTGGGGAGGAGCCCCCACCTGAAGTCTTCAGCACCGGGGATGCGAAGAAGCAGCCCAAGCTCCAGCCGCCATCTCCTGGTAAGTGACAGCTACAGCTGGCCCCTGCAGAGTGGCCTTGGGGCCAGGCTGAGCCAGAGCTCTAGAGCAGGAGAGGACCCGCCCCAAGCAGAGCTCGCTGCACAGAGGGATGGAGTGCTGCAGGGTGCTCCCTTCCTGTCAGACCTGAAAGACGGCACTCCTTGCCTTCCCTCGTCTCATCAGAGTAGACCGTAGAGTCCTGAGCCATATACCTTTGTCTGTAATACAAGGATTTAAAAATATCCCATCTCTCTGGATAGAGTAAACACCTTCCTGAACCCGTTCTGGTATTTTACAGTCTGGGTGGCACCACCTTCAGGTCCAATGGCTTGCACCACCTCTTCTCTCTGGGCCATTCCAGTTTGTACTTTGAAAAATAAAATCTGGACTTAGGTTCTGCTGTTTCCTGTCCAAGGAGTTCTCACCTGAAGGGAATTCCTACCAGTGCTGCAGTAAAGGCCGTTAGGTGCTGTGGGAACCAGGTATATAGGCAGCCCTTCCCGCCCCCACCCACACAGTGGATGAGGTCACTCTTTGCAGCACTCTCTGGCCTTTGTCTCCCCCTTAGACTTTCAAGTATAAAATTACCACATACTGTGAGCTGGCAAATCCAGTGTTAAAAACAGGGAAATTGGCCCCCTGCTTGGTTCTGCGTGGTAGCCGCACTCAGGTAAACCCCATCATTTCTAGGTTCTGGTCACTGGTCATCACAGATCCCATTTAAGGCTGGTTACCTGTAGCATTTATAGCACTCCTGCTGTTGCTATATAAGGTGGGGCCTTAGTGTCACATGTCCTGTTGCGAGGCTAACTGAAAGCCTGTGTTTGTTGAGCATATCCAGTGTGCTAGGAGTCTTCTGTCTAGTTAGCATTCCCGGGATGCAGGTGCAGTTTTGGTGTGCCCGAGAAAGGGAAGGCAGATAAACTCTTAAGAGCCCAAAGCTACACATGAGGCTGCAGGAGGCCTGTTTGGGGATACTTGGTCATATGTTGTTCACTGAACTCACCCAATACTTTAGCCTAGAAGGACATGCCTTTGAAACAGGCCCGCTGTTTACATCAGAAGGCAGAGAAAGAACTCTGTTCACTTCTGATGATTCTCTGGTACTGTCCGCATCACAGGGCAGCCAGCGGTGTGCTGCCCTGACCATCCTTACACAGAGGTCCAGTTCTAAGAAGGAACCCTCCTCGACAGCCTCACCCTTAATGATCCCAAACATTGACCACTCAGGGTGTACATGAGCACGGGACAGGCTAATTTTTAAAAAGATACATTACATTCAGTTCACAGACTGAAAAAATTGGTCTGTGAACAGCCCTGAACTGTTCTTCCAAAATAACACCCCAGTGGGGTGCAGGGTCCAAAGAAGTGATGTCTGCAAAGATCTAAAGAAACGCTTATTTGTCAGGAAAGAACCTGTGTCCCTGAATGGCTTGCACTTGAGTGTGGAGAATAGCTCTCAGAGAATGCCTCGGCCTCAGAACAGGAAGCCCTGCCAAGGCATAGATCCTGCAGAAAGTGGAGGCCTGCTCTCTGAACAGACAGCTTTCCTTTCCCCAGCTTAGAACAGCTGCCTTTATGTCAGCATTATCATTTTAACTGCACAAGGGAGCTTGGCGTGAAAGTATGTGCCTTGGTCCAGATGTAGCTAAGGTCCTGCTGTGACGTGGGGATAGAGCCAAGCTTCCTGGTGTTGACTGTGAAGTCAGTGTCCACTCCAGAGATACCATGCACTGTGCTCTGGGCCACACAGACCATCCAGGGGGCAGACAGCAGCAGCACCCTGTAGCCCATAGCCAGGTTTATCCAATGGCCCCGTGTGCATCAGACAGCCTCCCTGGCTCCAAGTCCTTCCTTGAGATTGTTGAAGAAAATTATTCCTGTGCAGAGATGTTTTCTTGGTCTCTTTTAACATGTAACTTTTAAAGCTAATTTTCAGTTAAACCTTTCTTACCAATACATCAAGACAAACTAAATCAAAAGATTTCTAATGAATATTCTAGATTGTTCTTCCAGCCTTCACTGAATCACATGTTCCTATATCATGTGTCTTTGTTCTGAGAGGGTTCCTTTTTTTTTTTTTCTCTAGCCAGTCTGGATTTGCTGTGGCTTTATGAATCTAAAGTTGAGTTCAGTCAAGCCTTCGAGGCTTGTCCTGATTCCTCTCTGCAGTACTCCCTACAGGCAGGCACTCTGCAGACAGATGTACCCCTTGAACTTTGTCAGTCGTCTGCATCCCTAAGGTTCTGTGGGATCCTGACCCTGAACTTCCCCAAGGTAGTGGAGAAGTTTAGTCAACAGCAGTTGCCCCCAACAGACTTAGGGAAATGGTGGTGAGTGGGGCAGACACAGATGAGGAAACTCCATTCAGCTAGTAAGTTTGTAACCCAAAACCCATCCATCTTTGCTGGCAGGTGGCTGCCTGCATTTGTATTATTAGCTGACAAGTGATGTCACAAAACCTGTCGTGCTTCCAACCAGAGAATCCTCAGAGGAAGATAAATGAGAACGGGCTGTGGTATAAGCAGAGGTGCCCTCTGGTTGACCTCCAGTCACCAGACCTGGGTCACGTGGGCTGTTCCCCCCTGGTACCCACACCCCTCCCTCGGGCACTAGGGCACCAGGTTCATGCTGTGTAAATTATCTTCCCAGCCAGGAGCCTTGGCTGTTCCTGTCTGAAGTGTGTGAATGTACTTAACCTCCAGTAACCTTTCCATTGTTTACTTTAGAGTATACATTCATAGCTTCTGGCAAAAGGTAGGGATATCCTAGAGAGCCAGCCAGCCTCCTCTGCTAATGGAGTTGCAAGAGGGTGTATTCAGGCTTTTTTTTTTTTTTTCCCTGAAAGTAAAGGAAAAACACTGGCAAGAAAGGAGGAATTTTCCTTTATTTTTTTATTAGCTACAACTGTGAATACTTTGTAAGAAAGGGTCACTCTAAAATCACAGCAGCCTTTGAGCCACATTTCCAAGGAAAGTCAGCCTGACTCAGAAGCTAGTCCTTTCTCCTCTTCTGCAGTCTGGGGTTAATGGGACAGGTGGATTACCTGGGCGACAGAAGGCTCCTTGCTCACTCATTGTGGTTTCCCTTCTTTATGCACATTTCCAGAGTTTTCAGTGTCTGTTAGCTGCTCTGCCTTCCTGGGTAGGTAGTCTGCTACATGCCTGCTGCATCCCTAAGTCTCCGTGAGCTCCACGGACACAGTGGGCTGCCACTCAAGCCACAGGGATGGGCAGCCTCTGACAGACAACGCTTGTACATAGCTATGCTTTCTTTCTAAGGACAGGTTGTCAGGTCCAAAGAAAACCCCAGTTCCCTGTACTTCGAAAAGCATCCTTATATCCAGAGATGAGCTCAAGCTGGACTGTAGGATGTCTGGTGGTTAGATAAAAGCCAACCTTCTTCAGGAACTTAGAAAACTGGCCCCCATCTAACAGAAGGAACCGTTCCCTTCCCTCTAGCAGGACAAATGGCTACCTTTTGTTACATATCAAAGCATGTGTCTGGCCTCCGGGCTCCCTCAGCATCCCAATTACCTGTCCTACATGTCAAAGTCCACACTAGCATGCTGCTAGCATGCTGTCTCCCCAGGTTCCCTCCGCCTACATACTCTTGTCTTTCTAGAATGGCAAGGTTTTCCCTGCCCTGGCTAGTCTCACTGTGCTCGCTCTAGTCTCTCTCTCTTGCTGTTCTCCTTTCTCACAGATAGCCCTGGCCACATCTACTCGGCTGGCCATGGTCAGTCTACTTTCTCTCTTGGCTCTGGATTCTTCCAGATGCCTCTGGCCACGCTCTCATATCTACAGTAAAAACCTGAACCGTATCACAGAGTTCCTGTGGGTAGTTTCTTTACTGTGCCCCTCAAATATATAGGCAACATCCACCTTTCCCATTTCTGCTCCCTTCATTGAGTAATGGCTTGGGACGTGCTTAACGTCCATTTTCTCTGACATAAAACAAACATTGGAGTGAGGCTGGACCTCCACCCACAGGAAAACAAGTGGTTTCCTAAAGTAGCAGTCTGCAGAGTCTCCAGTCCCAGATAGTTGTGCAGGCGCCAGCACATGAGGCTCTGTGGGCTGTCATTTTGCTGCTCTGAGTTCACCTGTTGACAGGAGCCCCGGTGCGTTGGGCATGGATCCATCCGGTATGCTCCTGTCTAATCAATACATGGGACCAGCATCTGTGGAATATCTAACATACTAAAGACTGTGGTACAGTGGGAGCTCTTGAGATATTTTGGTTTTCCTATAAAGCAAGGTTAATTAATCCCACGTGAGCTTTGAAAGGGGCTCGTGTCTGAGTGCTATGATTCTGAAGTAATTATGGTTGAAGCTGAGTCCCGGAATTCTGACAGCAGCACCGGAGAGCAGCAGCACCGGAGAGCTCCAAGCCAGCATGATGTGTTTGTAGTAACAAATCTGAGTCACAGCTCGAATGGCTGGTTTAATGATTGAGTGTAGATATCCAGTTGTTGAAGAGATACTGAAATACTGTAAGGGGCCTTGTTAACCTCGGTAAGCAGTTCTCAACCGCAGACATTCCCACCGCTGAAGAACCCACCCGTGTTCTGCATTACAGCTCACCCACCTGAAACGCCAGAAGTTTTATTCTGTTTCTTCTCTATTTACATTTAGAGTATATCCAACAACACGGAGTTAAACAGTTTTCTGCCTAAAGCCTTATTTTCTTTGACTCCTTTCCCTGGGATAAATACCCCAGGAAGGAATCACCCAGTCAAACGTGTAACTATGTTACCCAGTCAGACATTTAACTGTGTCACCCAGACGTGTAACTATGTCACTCAGGCAGACGTGTAACTATGTGTTATGGCTCACGGGTGAAGTATGTTTCTAAATCGTTTATTCAGAAAATTCCTTCCCTGGGTGATGAGGGCAGAACCCAGTGTACAGTGTTTGCCTCATTCGTGTGAAGGCCGAGCTTCAGAGCTGGTGCAGTACCCCTGTACTGGCGCATGCTCACAGTCTTCCTCCCCCAGGCTTGGTCTCTTACTCTGTCATTTTCTGAACAGTGTACATATGACTAATTTTACTAAATTATTGCTATGATTCCAGCAATGTCTTACTTTTAGTCCTTTCATATACAAGGCTACCAAAACTTAGCTTACTCAATAACGCTAGCTCTTCCCCTTATTTTCCCTTGACCACTGCTAGCTAACTCAGGATCCTTACAAGGCCCACAGACTCCACAGTCAACTGGCAGCAATTCAATGGCTGAGGTTCCGGGTGACCTGAAGCCACCGACTCCAGCCTCTACCCCTCACGGACAGATGACCCCCATGCAAAGTGGAAGGTATGTTCTGAGGATTCTTAGGATGTAAAGTCAAGTTTTGTTTTGTTTTGTTTTTGGAGCAAACTTGGTAGAAAAAAATTAATTCTTCCCTGATTAGTTTTTCACTGCTTATTACTGCTCCTTTTAGCATGTAGTTTACTTTGGGTGGTTTTGCATTCACCAGTCACAAGCGTGGCTTATTTCCTGAGCTCCATGGGTGTCTAGTGTCACAGCATCATTCAGCTTTCACCCTCTGTGTCTCTCAGAAACAGTACAGTCAGTGTACATGACCCATTCTCGGATGTGAGTGATTCCGCGTACCCAAAACGGAACTCCATGACTCCAAACACCCCATACCAGCAGGGCATGGGCATGCCAGACATGATGGGCAGAATGCCCTATGAACCCAACAAGGACCCTTTCAGTGGAATGAGAAAAGGTATGTGGAGGGGAGTTTCTGTGTGGGCGTTGCCCAGGAGGCTTCCTTCTCCCCGATGCCTGGCAACCTGTTCACCTCTTCAGTTGGGATGGTTCTAAGCACCTGCCTTGTAGTGACGCAGCCTTCTTCCCTGCTTAAACTAGAGCCTTAGGAAAACTCATGGCCGTTCTCAATCTGACTTGCCTCCTAGAAATGGTGAAAGCAGTAGAACCGACCTCATGCATTATAAGGATTGAGTCCACACAGGAAGCCAGTAGAATTGTGGACAGCTGTGGTCCAGAAGCACCCACTGGCTGCAGTGGTCTACCTGGTGTGAACACCAACAGGGCACAGTGCTGGGTACAAAGTAGTGCTCTTACAATCATGGTTCTTACGTTAACAGACGTAGGAGGACAATACAGTAAAGACCATGGGGATGGGAGCAGGCAGACGGACAGGAAGGCGGGGAGCCAGCAGTGATTTTATATGAATACATTGGAGGAAGGCAAAGGCTCTGCAGACTGCTGTGTCACAAGAAAGGAAGTAGGGGCGTCAGCTCTCCATGGAGACTTACAGAGTTAGGAAGAGGGCCTCCTAGCAGGGGGTTGCTGGGCCTCTTAAGGAAGAGACACACAGGCTGAGTTCATCAGTTGCCAGGGGGCAGGGCCCTTCAACTGACTGGCACATTCATGAGTTTGAGTTTTCACCAGCTGAGAAATGTTATCTAGGGAAACTGCATGGTTTGACTTTTGTAAGTAAGTTCATGAGTAGCTGGTAGTTGCCAGGCACACTCTGAAAGAGATAAAGAGATTCATGGCAGGGCTGGAGGGATGGCTCACCAGTTAAGAGCACTGGCTGCTCTTCCAGAAAACCTGGGTTCAGTTTTCAGTTCCCACATGGCAGCTCACAACTGTCTGTAATCCAGCTCCAGCTGATTTGACACCATCACACAGACAGACATGCAGACAAGACACGAGTTCACGTAAAATAAAAATAAATCTAAAAAAAAAACCAAAAAAACCTGAAGCAATGGTAAGAGACGAGCCAGAGATGCTGGAGCCAGACAGGAGCCATGGAGAGAAGCCCACTGTGTCTTTGAGGGGTGGTGAATGAAGGGAGACTCTGAATAGTTGTTCATGGCTGTTTGGAAAAGGGCCAGAACAGCAGGAAACTCTGTGTCTTGAGCATCTGTTGATGGGAGGAGTCGTAGGCTGTTTCTGGAGCTGGACTGAGGCCGGCCTTCAGTGTGTACCTGTAGCCATGGGATCTCCCCGCCTCTGTCTCCCCAAGTCCTTGGGTTAAAGGCATGCACCACCACACCAGCTGTGAGTTTTATGATACCCAGGAGTGGAGAGATACAGAAAGCCCCAGTTTGGTTTTGATGAGTATTATGGGCTATAAAAACAAAAAGGAAGAATCTCACTGGATGTGTACTTGTAAGAGAACGACATGAATAATATTTCAGATGTATTTCAGGCAACAGTTACATAAAGCAAGATGATCTGTGATTTTTTTTTTTTCCCTCAAGAGTCTCAGAGTTCCTTCTAAGTAAAGATTTCCAGAATGCAGGATGAGTCCAGAAGCCTCCTGGGTGTTAGAAGTGGTTAGGTTTCTGTGGTGTGCGAGGGATTTGGTCCATATTCTACCTGTCTTAGGGTCTTATGAAGAGACACTATGATTATGGCAACTCTTTTAAAGGACAACATTTTATTGGGGCTGGCTTACAGGTTCAGAGGTTCAGTCCGTTATCAACATGGCAGGAACCATAGCAACATGCAGGCAGACACGACACTGGAGAAGGAGCTGAGAGTTCTACATCTCGATCCACAGGCAGCAGCAGGAGACTAAGTGTCAGACCGTCTGTAGCTTTTTCATAGGAGACCTCATAGCCTGCCCCACAATAGGATGCTTTCTCCAACAAGGCCTCACGTCCTAATAGTGACACTCCCCATGAGCAAAACATTCAAACCCATGGGTTTGTGAGGACCACACCACACTACCTTTAGATGCTAAAAATATAACAACATGGAAAAATTAATGATTTAATTAATTTATTTGGAGGTGGGCCTCCGAATCTCAGCCATTCTGTCTCTGCCCTGCTGTACAACAGCTACAGGATGCCTCTCCTTCCCTCATGCCTGCAATCTCTACTATGCATGAATTTGAGAGGCTGAAGGTTCTTTCCGCACAACCATGAATTTAAATCTTCAGCACCCACATAAAAGCTGGGTTGTGGATATTCCCACAGCTCTAGTGCTATGGGAGCCTAGACAGGAGGAATTTTAGTTTGCTAGATAGCCAGCCTAGCCCAGTATATGAGCCCCACATTCAATAAGAAAGGCCTCATCTCACAGGTAAGGTGGAGAAGACTAGAGGAAGACTACAACACCATGTGGCCTCTGTGTGTGCACCTGCGCATACACACACATCACAAAATGAATTTGAGCAGGTAGGGGAACAAGTAGAGGGCTGGGCTGTGAGATGGTAGGTAGAGAGAGAATGAGTCAGAGATAAATAGCACAGTCCTTGTATGTTTCAGCTCACTCGCCACCTCATAGCACTGGGACATTTATGTCCACAGAAAACATTTTCTTACAGCTCTAATTAGTTGTAAATAAAGTTGTTCATTTTTTCAAGTTGTTCATTGGTCTATGAATTTAGACCAATGTCCATGGAAACCACTGTTACTGGGGTAGCACCAGCAGGTGGTCCTGGTGTCACCATCATTGGCCTGTGACTCAGTGGTGCAGCGAGTCAGCCTAGTCTGAGATCCCTTACCCCCATGAAGCCGGCCCTGCCTGCTGCTTACCACCTGCCTCAGAGCACACGATCTCAGCCTAGGCTGCTTCTCTGAAGCTCTGACTGTGGTACCCAGTGCGTCTGAGTCTGCTGCTATCCATATACATAGCTATGCTTAAATCTTTCCTAGACCCTGGTGCCATAGCACTAGCTGCCTCTTTCTCCCACTTAGAGCTTGCACAATTGTGGTGTGTGACCATTGAGACAGTGTTTCCATGAGATTGACTGAAGTCCCTCTGTCATCTTGTAATGTGTAGCAGAACTCGACTGTGTCTCATGGCTGTATTGTCAGGGGGCCTCTGGGATGTCTGATGTCAGCAGAGTCTTTACTCGGAACCCAGCTGGAGTCTGGGACCTTTCTGTGTGCTTTCTAGGGTGCCCTTGCCATAGAAGGTGAAATCCAAGATCCAAGATAAACCCTGTCGCAAGCTCGGGCAAGTGTTTGCTGAGGTCCATTTTCCCAAGCCTATTGGTCAGCACTAGCCATGTTGCCCAACCCAACGTCATTATGGGAGGGGACAGCGTGGGCTGTGAATACAAGTAGATGTTTTTCTTTGTGTGCCAGGGAATGGCTGCCCACAGCAGGTATGGGCAGAAGATGCAGCAATTAAATGCACTGGCAGGAGTGTGGGGTGTGGGGGCCCCTGCTTACTAAGCTGATTCTCACAGCCAGCTCAGCATCTGCCAATCAAATTGTAACTTACGTTTTTGTAATTTTCAGTAAGACCACAGATCTATCACATATTGAGTGAACATTTAGTTTCCTTTTTCTGCAAACATGATTTTCATGATTTTGATATAGTATCTACTTTCTGTTGATTTTTTTAAAGGAACTCAGTGGATTATAGAATTACACTACTTAACTTTAATCATGCCACTTGACTTCTGTCTATCTCTGTCTTTCCATCTACAAAATGGAAGGTAATCTCAAAACTGGTTCTGCCACAAGTTGATGTGATGTCAGACACAGAGAAGGTGGCAAAGTCTGATATTCCTGCATTGGCCTCAACCCTTGTATCTGGTCTACAGTGTGACAGCACTGACTTAGAAGACTTCAGGTGGTACAAGTCTCTGAACTTAATTCTGTTTTCTTCAGGCTCAAACCTGATGCTCATTTGCATATGCATCCTTATTGGTGGTCTACTTTTGGCTAGAAATAAGTCACAGCACATCCCATCTTCAGCTGTTCTTTTTAACTATGTGCACAGATGTATGTGCACATGAATGTGGGTGCCTCCAAGGGCCAGAAGGGGGCCTCAGATCCCCTGGAGCTAGAGTTACGGGCAGTAGTGAAGCACTAGCCGATGTAAATGCTGGGAAGTGAACTCAGATCCTGCAAGTGCTCTTAACCACTGAGCCATCTCTCCAGCCCCTTGAGCTGTTGTTAATATACCATTTATGTCAATGTTTTCTGGCTTTTCTGTGTAAGATTGAAAACTAATTTTAATGCATATTTCCTGTCTTGTTTACAACCTCTTCATGAGCTGATATCACCTCGCTCTACAAACAGTAGTTAACACAGACATTAGTAGCTTTTCCATGAGCTTCCGTGTTGCTGTGTGAGAGGTGACCACAGACTACGCCTGTGACAGCAGAGATGTAGGCTCGCCGTGGGCTCAGTAGGCGCTGCAGGGTAGTCCTGGGCCTCTGCTCTCAGCCTCACGCAAAACCAAAGCCAGGACTCGGCTTCTGAGTTGCAGGTCCCTTCAGGTTCATTCAGGTAGTTGGCAGAATTCATTCCCTTGTCTCTCAAGGTTATAGGGCCAAGGTGACCATCACACTGTTGGCTGTTCTCTGTCCACTCTTCGTAATGTGCCTCTTTCCGTGACAAGGGCAATAGGAGAGTGTCAGGCTTCATCTGTAGCCTTCAGCCCAGATTTGAAGGGTTGCTTGAATTTTCCCCTTGGGTGAATGAATACACAGTCATTGTAACCATCACCACATCTGTGACTCTCCTTTGCCGTGCAACACACCAATAATCATGGAGCCACAGCCTAGCCTGTGTCTGGGTCCTGCCAGATCAGAGGCTCTTGCAGAGCAAACATCAGGGATACAGGTATCTGAAAGCATCTTGGGATTCTGCTCCCTTGGGCAGAGTCTATATCCTCTCGTTAGGATTGTGATGTGCCGTGTAAGATTGGGACCACTGAGGTTACTAGAAGAGATGTGTAGGCCTTTTGGCTTTTGGAAATTGCTCAGTTCTGTGCTTTTTGTTTCAAATATTACAGTGCCTGGAAGTAGTGAGCCCTTTATGACACAAGGACAGATGCCCAACAGCAGCATGCAGGACATGTACAGCCAGAGCCCCTCGGGTGCCATGTCCAACCTGGGCATGGGACAGCGACAACAGTTTCCCTATGGAACCAGCTATGACCGAAGGTGAGTGTTTTGGGTTTTTTTTGTGTGTTTTTTTTTTCTTCTTATTTTATGAAGCTGGGATAATTTACCAAAAACTGCTTTCCTCAGATACACATTTCTGAGCCCTGGTGCCTGAGCTTCCAGTGACAACACAGTGGGTAACCCTCTTTGTAGACACCACTGACAACCAGGCAGTGTCCAGTGGCTACTTACAGTTGGTGGCCTCAGCCAGACCATGAAGAACTTGGTCTCAGATGGTGCATGGCTGTTATTTCTAAGCAGGTGTTGAGCGGCATACCTCGGGTCAGATGTCCCGACTGTGGTGGGCCACTCTTCCCTCAGAACTCAGGAGAACACCACACACTGTGCTAATCCACCAAGCACCAGATTCCTAAAGTGCCAGGCCCTCCTCCCCTGCACTCCTTGAGGATGATATCTAGGCTATCACGCTTGGCTCTCTCTCGGGCCCTGAGTTCTGGACCAAGAGTGTATTTTGCTAACAGATGACTCTGAGAAAGCCCACCATTCAGATGCACAGGAGCCTCTCTAAGGAAGCCATTTTGATACCCACATGGCAGGTCAGGCCACAGGATCACTCCTAAACTGTATTTTGGTCAGAAGACAGATGTCACAAGAAGGCCATCAGTAGCCTCATCTTCACAGGTGACAGGACTTCCTTTGTGAAGAAATTCCTCACCCATGCCCCTGGCTGACACCAAAGGCCTTTTGTACTGGTGGATTCTCTGCTTCTCTAATGAGACAGATGCTTAGAGCAGGCTTCCAGTGTGGTATTTGTGGTTTATAAAGAAAAAGCATGAAACATATGAGAAGAAAGCCCTTGTCCTTTCTGTAGTGAGGGGAAGACTGGCTGGAGCCCCTTCCTCCATGGTCCTGGGGAGCCTGGCCACACCCAAGCCCTCTCACCAGGTAGAGCCCAGGGAGGGACAGTGAGTGTGATTGACTTGATTCCGAGGGGTAAGTGTAAGAGGTCACAAGTCAGGTGTCTTCTGGGAGCCAGTGCAGCATCACTGGTAACCAGGGTGACAGGTGAGTCTCAGTACTCTGTGGTTTGGCTTTCCTCATACCTTCCCCACATGTGATGGATATCTGTCGCCATCCCTGTCTTTCAGTGAGCCAGTGCAGATGCCTGGTGCGTAGGATGAGAGTTAAGTTCAGCCATTGTGGACCCCTAAGAATAGGGCTTCAGTTGGGTTGGGTCGGGTCTTAGGGTCTAGTACGAGCTACTGTTTTGTTAGGCAGTTGTACAAGGACAGACACCCTGGGGACTCTTCGGTAAGCTTGCTGTCCTGCTGCGGCCTGGCTGTGGCTCACCTGTATCAGAGCATTCTGCTTCGTTAGCAGTCCTCTGAAAGGCTACTGTCTCAAGCCTATCCTTATCCGTTATATTTCCTTTCTTTAAACTTCCTCCTAGAGTTTTCTCCTGTCTAGTGGCATATAGTAATTAATTGTTTCCTATTTTCTTGATCACATTAATAATATGTCCAATCCAGTTACTCTCCCCTTCTACAGAATTCAGTATTTCTAACTTAAACTAGTTTACTTTCAAAGTTCAACATCTAGCACCCTTAAACATGTTAATTTTATGGCATTTACATTCCCTAAATGTAGGAGCAGTTGAAGATGACCACTGTTTCCGTGCAAGCATTTAATGGAAGTTATCTCAGTCAGTGGTAGCGTTCTCTGTAACCAAACCCTCTGTAATCAGGAACGTAGAAATGTTGACCATCCCTCTGGCTGAAGGATAGCTTTTTAATTTATTTTTATTTTATGTGCATTGGTATATGTCTCTGTGAGAGTGTTAGATCTTGAAGTTACAGATGTTGTGAGCTGCCATGTGGGTATTGGGAATTAAACCTGTCCTCTGGAAGAGCAGTCAGTGCTCTTAACCGCTGAACCATCTCTCCAACCCCAGGAAGTATAACTTTAAACCCTGTGTCCTCAGTAAGGAAGCAGAAGATGGAAGCATCATCCATGTTGTAATACTTTTGGAAATGCTGCTTCTGAACCTCTGTCTCTTCTTGTTTCCCTGCTCCCATGACAACACCCTGGGGCGCGTGCTGGTGGAAGCTTCAGGGGATGGGTGGGGCTTCCGCCTCAAAGGAAGCGGCCAAAGCCTGGACAAGCACACACAAGGCTCTGCCTGTCTGACCGGTATCCCTCTGACACTGATTAGCAACAGCCTGAACTGGGAGTTTGGCTCATCTCCTGAGATGGGTGTTACCGTCCCTGCAGGACGCTGGAGTGCAGCTGTGGCCTCCTGTGCTGTTGAGACTGGTGTGTGTGGAGTGAAGGCGACGGAGCCCTAGGTAGAGCTTCTAGCAATGGGCTGTTTGTGCCTGTGCCTGCCTCCAGTCCTGAGTAAACTAAGTTCTCTTTGAATACTTTGCTCTAGGCATGAAGCTTACGGGCAGCAGTACCCAGGCCAGGGGCCACCCACAGGACAGCCACCGTATGGAGGACACCAGCCTGGCCTGTACCCACAGCAGCCGGTGAGTTGGCCATGGGTGTGGGCCTGGATCCCTTTTGTCAGCTGGAGGCTGAAACCAAAGTCTTTCCTTTGAAGATTTGGGGAGGGCTAACAAAGTCATGCACTTTACTGAATAGTCAAGGTAGGTCTAGCTAGAGAGTACTCCTGGGATTTTGAACTCAGAAAGTTAAAAACCGCTCTTGACAGGCAGTATTCTGTGATATATGAGCAAGCCTAGGCATAGACAGCAGGTGTCATAGTCTCAGTATAGAGGCTCTGGCATCTATTGAGGTCTAGGGTCCCCTTAGCCCAGAACCTCCCAGAATGGCCCTGAAATATCCAGTTTACTCCCATGAGTCAGAGCAGCCTGGCTCCTAGGGTGCTGTCGGATCCATCTGCCCACGTGTGCTGACATGATGGTCAGCCATGCTGTACTGTTCCTGTGTGGCCCAAGGAGAAGGGTCACAGAAAATTTCTTACTCGTGAAAACAAAGCTGGGCATACCTCCTTCGAGTGTGTGGCAATACTGAAATACAAGCCTAAATTGCTAGTGCTTGTCGGTACATAGGAGCGACCCATATCCGTTTTGAAATGAACATTCTACCCAGTAATAACTATTTTGCATAATTTGAGTGTGTATGATTATACCTCTAAGAGAACATGAGTATGATTTGTCTTTATATGAATTTCAGAATTACAAACGCCATATGGATGGCATGTATGGGCCTCCAGCCAAGCGGCACGAGGGAGACATGTACAACATGCAGTATGGCAGCCAGCAGCAGGAGATGTATAGCCAATACGGAGCTTCCTACTCTGGCCCGGACAGAAGGCCCATCCAGGGACAGTACCCCTACCCCTACAACAGAGAAAGGATGCAAGGCCCAGGCCAGATGCAGCCACATGGAATCCCACCTCAGATGATGGGTGGCCCCATGCAGTCATCCTCCAGCGAAGGGCCTCAGCAGAATATGTGGGCTGCACGCAACGATATGCCTTATCCCTACCAGAACAGGCAAGGCCCAGGCGGCCCTGCACAGGCACCCCCTTACCCAGGCATGAACCGCACAGATGACATGATGGTACCTGATCAGAGGATCAATCACGAGAGCCAGTGGCCTTCTCACGTCAGCCAGCGCCAGCCTTACATGTCCTCTTCGGCATCCATGCAACCCATCACGCGCCCACCTCAGTCATCCTACCAGACGCCGCCGTCACTGCCAAACCATATCTCCAGGGCTCCCAGCCCCGCCTCCTTCCAGCGCTCCCTGGAGAGTCGCATGTCTCCAAGCAAGTCTCCCTTCCTGCCCTCCATGAAGATGCAGAAGGTCATGCCTACCGTCCCCGCCTCCCAGGTCACCGGACCATCCCCGCAGCCACCTCCAATCAGAAGGGAGATTACCTTTCCTCCTGGCTCTGTAGAAGCATCTCAGCCAGTCCTGAAGCAAAGGCGAAAGATTACCTCAAAAGATATTGGTAAGACTTTGAAAGGATTGTTCTGGAAATGAATTGGTTTTTGCAATGTAGATCTTTTTTAATTCAGGCATAATTCTCATCTATCACAATTGGATGAGAATCTCAATAATACAGATTATCAGGCTATTTATATATGGGCACATTGACAAGAAGCCACTCATCTGAATAACGGGCTAGAGAATAGCCTGAATCTAAATGATGCTTCTAGGTGCAAAAGTTGCTGTGGAGAGGCAGCACTCCAGAGAGGCCCAGAGTGCCTCAGCTGCACGTGCTGTATGCTGGCTCAAGCTTCAGATGTAACCAAGCTGCTTGGTTGCTACAGTGGACGTTTAAGAGACCCACTGGAGGCCGAGGAGACTGAAGGCCAGCCACTCTAGTTACAGTATAAGATGAAGTTCCATCGGGAAAGTAGAAGCCTGGCTATGCTATAAAGATAGGCAGATATGATAGATGTGCTCTATGGATGGTCTCTGCTGTGATATATGCAACTTATGTAATCCACACCACACTGGCAGATACAGGCCCAGGAGTGAACCTCGGCTGAGTGCTGACATTGCTTGCTTGCCCTCTGCGAGGCGACGGGAATACTAATTAGTGGTCTGGAGTCTCCAGCAGTTAACACAGCTTTTTCTGCACTCATTTTGAAGCTTTTTTTTTTTTTTTAACACAGCAGAGGAAATAATAGTTCTTGGTTGTGTAAGAAAATTTTTTTCAAAGATTTTGGACTCAGTTGGCGTAGAACCATTTCTAGTGATTAGAAAATGAAAGATATTTAATTAATGATATTAAAGATATTTTTAGTTGTTAGACATTAAGAAGGTACATAATAAGAAAAATAGGGTATCTTTTTTGTATGAGAGCTGTAGAGAGATGATGGAGTACACATACTGAACCCTCTTTTATATATAGACAATGTAAGTGAAATAGCTACATCTATATGTTTAAGTAGATACATATATCTACTTTTTAAAAGTATATATTTATTTTCTGTGGTATTTTGCCTGCATGTGTATCTGCATTCTGTGCATGCAATGCCCAAGGAAGCCAGAAGAAGGTGTTAAATCCTCAGGAACTGGGTTGCAGATGATTGTTAGCTACCATTTGGGTACTGGGCCCCTAAACTTGGTCCTGTCCAAGAACCAGTGTGCTTAACTGCTGAGCCATCTCTCCAGCCCTGGATCTGGATTTGAATCTTACTTTGGTTTTATTTTTATCTCTTAGTCCGTTTTCTATCAGTGCTTGCCTTCAACCTAGGGAAATTTTATCTTCAAAATTCTGATCCCTTTTAAGACGAAAGCCATGTTTTCTTCTTAAAAAGCTTGTAAAACAAAATCACAGTAAGGACACCCTTGGACACTCCAAGGTCCCTCCCTCGCTGCACCATAGGTAGCTGGGAGGTGGGGTTGGACACATCTCCACAGAGCCCCTCCTCACTGCACTTAAGTAGCTGTGGTGAATGGGTTGATGAGGCCTCCGTTCTACCTCAGGTCACATCACAAGCCCCTGCAGTCCTGAAAATCTCCCACTGCAGACTCAGGACATGGGGGGAATCTTGTGTACCCCCATCCTCAGCAAAGCTGACAGCTGTCATTTAGTCATACTTTTCTGGGGCAGGAGTAGAAAGAGTGACAGAGAGGGCAGACTTTCAGTCTCCCACTCCTGGGCACAGCCACACGCTGAAAACCACCCCTCCCCGTGCCTGTGCGGCCACAGCAGGGTGTAGAGATGGGGGGAGAACACAGACCTTCCTCTGACCTGACACTGGGGGGGGGGGGATACATTTCCTTCTCAAGCCAGCAACAAGGATCTTAAAGAACAAAGCAGTAGCGTGTGGAGCTCCGTCGCTCCGTCTCCAGCTAAAGTCAGATGGTCACGCACGGCTGCGGGCTGCAGGCAGCACTGCTCTCCCTCTAGACCTCCTCACACCCCGTTCTCCTTTTCAGTTACTCCCGAGGCATGGCGTGTGATGATGTCCCTCAAATCGGGTCTGCTGGCTGAGAGCACGTGGGCTTTGGACACCATCAACATTCTCCTCTATGACGACAGCACCGTCGCCACCTTCAATCTTTCCCAGGTGAGGCAGCTGCTCACAGCTGGTGACAAGTTGGGGCGTTATAAAATGAAGTAATGGATAATGCTGTGCTGGTCCCAAAGGTGATGTGCAGTGACCATCCAAGACTTCAAGTCATTGTAGCTAGTATAAAGCAGCATTAGTCAATACGCAGTTGCCTGTGTACTCAGTCTGGGATAATAATTCATTTCCGTCTTCAGGGTAAATGTGTGTGTGTGTGTGTGTGTGTGTGTACATATGTGAATAAATGTATATGTGTTCCTGTATTTCTCATAGGAAAACAGTGGCTCTGTGTGTGTGTAAGATAGTAGCAAAAAAAATTGTTTCTAGGGGTAGGAATAATTAAACCCTAACATGAAGTTAGAACTGATTGATATCAGTTACAGAAAGTACTTCTCAGTGCAACTTAATATCCATCTTTTTATGTTATTGATCTTTAATCACTTGTTTGAGGCAGGGTCTCATGTAGTGCAGCCTTGAACCAACTATGTGATGTTGACCGCCTGTTCCCATGTGCTGAGGTCATAGGCAAGTACCACCGCGTCCCATGCTGTGTCTTTTTCTCCAATGGAAATATGTAACACATTTAAAAGCACAGATCTTACTGACCCCTATGTCCCCACCAGCTCGCTGGAATGACCAGGGACTCCCAGCCATGCCTACCTCCAGGTCACTTCCCCACATCTGCCTTTCTCCAGGTTGTCTTGAAGTCCTCACTTGAAACCCTGCTTCTTCTGGGGAATGCCTACCCCCAGGTCAGAGCTGGCCTTAAAGTAGCTTGTAGAAGTATAACAGCAGGAAGCCTGAGAAAAATGCCCAAGTCAGTAAGGCTATAGGCTTTACAGGCTATTGGGCTTTAAACTGACGTTTAGGATAAAAATGAGGAAGGTTTGTTCTCCCTGTGACTATAAACAGCTCACCACCTAAAGACACTGGGCTCTCTAGTTCTCTGCCTGCTGTTGAAATAAGTCCAGAACTTTCTACCACTCCCTTTTACTATGCCTTGAGTGTAGCCCAGAGGCTGTTCTCAGCTGTGTATTGTGTTGCAAACATTGCATTTCTTGATGGTGGTTTTATGTTTAAGATGTGTGCTTGAAATAATGTGTCCAGCTTTCTCCAGAACCTTCATCTTCATAATAGATTAACTCTGGCTGGTTGTATGTCTTTATGCCCAGAAGTGCTTGATTAACTTGCCCTTTTCCCCAGGGAAACTTGTGACAGGGAGGGTGAACCACCCAGACTTCCCCTGGGGAAAGTACCTTCAGGATCACAAAAGCAACTGCTTGGTACAGCTTATATCCCCTTACCTGGAACAGGTGTGCTAAGCCCTGGGAACAAAGAGGAGATGTGGCACTATGGTTGGATTCCACAGCATCTGTCATACAGAACTCTCCTCTCATTGCATGTCCCTACAGCCCGAGTAAGGCAGGCCGTGTGCTGGAGTGAGTGACACAGGCGGGAGAACTCGGCTTCCACAGGCAGACTCCCTGTCAGCGGTTCTTGTTTTTCATTTAGCATTGTGAATAACTGAAATGTAAAATTGCATTTTATAAAGCAGACACATTCATTTATCAGGGACTAAATTGATTTGTTTATAATTTTCAGTCTTTATGAGCTACTATATTACTGAAATTATCTCCTCCAAAAGATATAGAAAGAGCATAAATCAGGGCAACCTATGGCACCTGAGACAAAAATAACCATAAAAATCCTAAGAATAATAACCATAAAAAGCCCAGCAGGCGACTCCCAGATAAATAGTAGAGGAGCGAATAGCTTCACTTTGGGTGGAGAGTCTGTAAAAGCCTCGCTCGGCTCCTCAGTGTATTTCCCAACTCCCCAAGTCATGCAAGCCGCCGAGAGTGGAACTCTCCACACATCAGAGCCATGGCCAAGGAAAGTTGGTGCCGCTGCTGACAGTGCCAGTTGGCAGAGAAGCAAAGACACACTCATGCATACTTAGTCCATCATCAGGAAGGTAGCTCTCGGACATGGCGTGCCCTCTAGGGTCTGGACAGAAGAACGTTAAAACAGTGTGGAAGTCTTTACCTGAAGCTGCCCTGGGCTCAGGCTCTTGCCCCTTCTGTGAGAGCTCGTGTCCTGACCCTGTAACTGTTCTCTTTCCCCTCTTCTCTAGCTGTCTGGATTCCTGGAACTATTAGTAGAGTACTTTCGAAAATGCCTAATTGACATTTTTGGCATTCTTATGGAATATGAAGTGGGTGACCCCAGCCAGAAGGCGCTTGATCACCGTACAGGGAAGAAAGATGGCAGCCAGTCTTCAGATGACGATTCTGGGAAGGAGGATGATGCTGCTGAGTGTTTTGAGGAGGAGGAGGAAGAGGAAGAGGAGGAGGAAGAAGACAGTGAAAAGACGGAGTCACAGGGGAAGAGCAGCGCTGCCCCAGCTGCTCCAGATGCCACTGTGGACCCCAAGGAGACGCCAAAGCAGGCCAGTAAGTTTGACAAGCTGCCCATAAAGATTGTCAAAAAGAACAACCTGTTTGTGGTGGACCGGTCAGACAAGCTGGGGCGAGTGCAGGAGTTCAACAGCGGGCTTCTCCACTGGCAGCTGGGTGGCGGGGACACTACAGAACACATCCAGACCCACTTCGAGAGCAAGATGGAGATCCCTCCTCGCAGGCGTCCACCTCCGCCTCTAAGCTCCACGGGTAAGAAGAAAGAGCTGGAAGGCAAAGGTGATTCTGAAGAGCTGCCAGAGAAAAGCATCATAGCCACCATCGATGATGTCTTATCTGCCAGGCCAGGGGCCCTGCCGGAAGACACCAACCCAGGACCCCAAACCGACAGTGGCAAGTTTCCCTTTGGAATCCAGCAGGCCAAAAGCCACCGGAACATCAGGCTCCTGGAGGACGAGCCCAGGAGCCGAGATGAGACGCCCCTGTGTACCATCGCGCACTGGCAGGACTCACTGGCCAAGCGCTGCATCTGTGTGTCTAACATCGTGCGGAGCTTGTCTTTCGTGCCTGGCAACGACGCCGAGATGTCCAAACACCCGGGCTTGGTGCTGATCCTAGGAAAGCTGATTCTGCTGCATCACGAGCATCCGGAGAGAAAGCGGGCGCCACAGACCTACGAGAAGGAGGAGGATGAGGACAAGGGGGTGGCATGCAGCAAAGACGAGTGGTGGTGGGACTGCCTCGAGGTCTTGCGGGATAACACCCTGGTCACTCTGGCGAACATTTCCGGGCAGCTAGACTTGTCTGCTTACACAGAGAGCATCTGCTTGCCGATCCTGGACGGCTTGCTGCACTGGATGGTGTGCCCGTCCGCGGAGGCACAGGACCCCTTTCCCACTGTGGGGCCCAACTCAGTCCTATCGCCGCAGAGACTTGTGCTGGAGACCCTGTGTAAACTCAGTATCCAGGACAACAACGTGGACCTGATCTTGGCCACGCCTCCATTTAGTCGTCAGGAGAAATTTTATGCTACATTAGTTAGGTACGTTGGGGATCGCAAAAACCCAGTCTGTCGAGAAATGTCCATGGCGCTTTTATCGAACCTTGCCCAGGGGGACACACTGGCAGCGAGGGCAATAGCTGTGCAGAAAGGAAGCATTGGAAACTTGATAAGCTTCCTAGAGGACGGGGTCACGATGGCACAGTACCAGCAGAGCCAGCATAACCTTATGCACATGCAGCCCCCACCTCTGGAACCCCCTAGTGTAGACATGATGTGCCGGGCGGCCAAAGCTTTGCTGGCCATGGCCAGAGTGGACGAAAACCGCTCAGAGTTCCTTTTGCACGAGGGTCGGTTGCTGGATATCTCGATATCGGCTGTCCTGAACTCTCTGGTTGCATCTGTCATCTGTGATGTACTGTTTCAGATTGGGCAGTTATGACATCCGTGAGGGCACACGTGTGTGAGTGAACATTAGAGGGTCACATATAACTGGCTGTTTTCTGTTCTTGTTTATCCAGTGTAGGAAGAAGGAAAAGAAAAATCTTTTGCTCCTCTGCCCCATTCACTATTTACCAATTGGGAATTAAAGAAATCATTAATTTGAACAGTTATAAAATTAATATTTGCTGTCTGTGTGTATAAGTACATCCTTTGGGGGATTTTCTGTTTCTTTTTTTTTTTTAACCAAAGTTGCCGTCTAGTGCATTCAAAGGTCACATTTTTGGGGGGTTTTCATAATTTTTTTCATGTTGTATCGCAGTTCTGGGGAAGTGAATTGACTTTATAAAGAAAAAAGTTTTGGCAAAAAAATGCTAAGATAGGAAAATTTCACATTGAGTCAAAAAGGTGAAAGGAAAAATTGATCCTTAAATTGATTTCCTATGAATTTTATTCTTCACAGAATGAAAAAAGCTAAACCGCATCCCATCTCCCAAAGCTCTGTGCAATAGAAACTTCTAGAGATATAGGTGAAGGGGCTGGAGGCCGTATGGCAGTCAGGAGTCAGGCTCAGTGACACCGCTTTCTCCACAGGAAAGTGGTTACATTAGGCCTCGCTCTCAGTTAGGGGCCAAAATCCACTCCTAACAGCCAACAGCGGATTGCTTCCTCACAGCGACCACCCGCCACGTCTGCTGTGGCTCAGCCTCCACGTGACAGATCTTCGTGATTCCTTTCATCAGTTTTTTTAAGTATTTTTTTTACTGCCTATGGGCTGTGATGTATATAGAAGTTGTACATTAAACATACCCTCATTTTTTTTTCTTTTCCTTTTTTTTTTTTTTTTAGTACAAAGTTTTTAGTTTCTTTTTCATGATGTGGTAACTACGAAGTGATGGTAGATTTAAATAATTTTTTATTTTTATTTTATATATTTTTTCATTAGGACCATATCTCCAAAAAACAAGAAAAAGAAACAAAAAATACAAAAAATAAAAACAAAAAAAAAAAGAGGGTAATGTACAAGTTTCTGTATGTATAAAGTCATGCTCTGTTGGGAGAGCGGCTGGTCCCAATTTGCTTCATGAATCAAGGTGTGGAAATGGTTGCATATGGATTGATTTAGAAAATGGATACCAGTACATACAAAAAAAGAAAAAAAGAAAGAAAAACCAACTAAGTGGAAGAAACACAACTTCAAAGATTTTTCTGTGACAAGAATCCGCATTTGTATTTCAAGATAATGTAGTTTAAGAAAAGAAAAAAAGAAAAAAAAAGAAAAAAACTTGATGTAAATTCCTCCTTTTCCTCTGGCTTAATGAATATCATTTATTCAGTATAAAATCTTTATATGTCCCACATGTTAAGAATAAATGTACATTAAATCTTGTTACGCACTGTGATGGGTGTTCTTGAATGCTGTTCTAGTTTGTCCAGCGTGGTTGCGTAGTAACCAAGTTATTTACAGGAAGTAGGGGAAATATAACAACCTCTTCCTGGTACTGAAGCCTGCAGGCCGGAAGGGACTTTCAGGGACTCCTGTTTAAGAGTGGGAGCACTACTTTGATTTTCTCAGATTGTTTAGCTTATTAGGCCTTTTTTGAAGCAGTTAACTCTAGCAACTTTGGGATGTGATGATTCCCTCATAGATGGGTGGTGACTGCCAACCCACGTGACATGGGGTCCTCCAAGCTAACCGGCCTGAAACCACGACCTTCTGCCTCTCAATCCTGATTTAACCCAAGTCCACACCCACCATGTGTCTTCTGTGTGCCTCCAAGTTACTCTGCATTAGTTTACTCCAGCGTGTGTAAGATTTATATTGTGCAAAAAAGAGCGTGTTACATTGTATGTGGTGTACATAGCGCCAAGTGATGATTCTATTTCAGAGTGTACCTTCCTCTTCCTTCCTGCCGGTCGGTCGCTGCCTCTCCAGTACCCCAGCTCTGATGGAAAGTGTTTCCTCCTGGATAACTGACTGTTACTTGTAACACTCAGTCTCTTTGAAACTGCTACACAGCCATGCTGATGGTGCCCCCTCTCACTCTACCTCTCTCTGTCCTTGTCAGTTGATACTTCCCATACCTGTTACTGTGGCTCACCTCGCTCAGGCTGACTTCTGGAAGAGTTAGACAGGAACACGTTGTTACAGCTGGGGTGAGATGTTACTCTGGTGTCATGAGAAAGAATTTGGTTTTTTTTTCCTGCAAGTGGCCGCATCACCGAGTAGCCCCAGCCCCCCACGTCAGCAAACAGATCTGTCTTGAATCAAACCCCCATTTATAATTCTAGATTGTAATGCATCTGTTTGCAAAGGACAGATTTTAGTCTTCCCTGGTGGCATCCTAATCTCTCTCTTGCAGACATTGAATAAAAGGTGTAGACAGACTGGAGCTATCCCAGACCCCAGTTCCCTTGTCAGAAGAGCAGTCTCTTTCAAAGACAAATGACTGTACAGAAGCCAGGCCCAGAACAGACTCGCAGCACACACTTTAACACCGAGCCCATGTCTATGCTCTCCAAGGAAGCTTTGTCCAATCACACCAATCCGACTTCTGGAAGCCCAGGAAGGATTCACATCCTGCTTGACATTTCCTGACGATACCGAGTTGCTGCTCTGTCCTAAAAAAAAAATAAAAATAAAAAAAATTTTAAAGATTTAATTGTTTTCCAGGGCTTTCAGAAATTTACAGGATACCCATACTCTAAATGTGTACCAAAAAAAAAAGAGAGAGAGAGAAATAAAGCTGCAGAGGAAGTCTAGTATTTTGGACTGATGCTATAAAGTTGAATATGTTGGTATTTGAGTGTTATTTTTTTTTAATGTCACATAAGAGATACTACTGGCTGGCATTGGCTAACAAAATAGCTATTTAAGTGTTTGAGTTGGATACACAATCAACTTTTAGTTAGCTATTTAAAGAGTAGTTATGATATTTTCCAAGTTAAAACAGTTGGGTTTTTTGACAGAGGCCATGGGTGGTCTTATACAATGTCCGTTCCTAAGCACAGCTTCTGAGAACTGGATAATGCTTTTCCTGAGAGCTGTCCATCGCTGACAATGTGCTGCTGGTACCCTGTATGTCCAACCCACAAGGGCATGGAGACTGAGGTAGACAACCCCTTGCTTTTTGATGGGTTGTGGTGAGCTCTTTACAGTCCAGTCCAATGCCCAGAGAGACCAGCCTATGTCCCTCATGCACCCAAGAGAAATGATCTTGACTGTCATGATCAAGACAGCTGTATAGAGCTCTAGTAAGTATTTCTGATGGCTCTATGGAATCTGCTAAGATAGATTAGCTCGGCAGAGATGTGTGTGTATGTGCTCTCATGCCTGGACTCCGTTGTCAGTGGGAAATGTTCCTGCTTCCGTTCGACAGACAAGTCAACCAGTTCTCAATACTCAGGAATAGAGGCTGTGTCTGTTAGAATCCCAATATGGTGCATAGCCTCATCCAAAGATGATCCGGGGGCCCTATCTACCTGAACTGTGTCTTGCTCCCTCTTGGGCTTTCCATTGGGATGTAGAAAGATAACCGATGGTTCCCAGGTTCCTAGTGTCACCCAAACCAGTAACCAGGTCTGGAGCTATAGAACCCACAAAGTCACATAGGATGGTTCAAAGCCAGAGATTTCCTTCCTCCCCTGCTTCCTCCAGCCCCTCTTTCATGCCCCGTCCAAATCACAAAGTCTTCTGGAGTCTCAGAGCTCCAAATTAACTGGGACTTAAGATGGGAATGCTGAGGAGAAGTCGGGAGTTGGTGGGAGATCACCAAATTGTCAGAACTATGAAGCTCATCTGTCTTCCCAACTCTGACCTCAGGGACTTGGGCATGCACTCTGACTTCTCCCAAAGTATGTTCTGGAAAAGAAAGAAGACCTCAGAGAGAAACAGCTTGCATGGTATCCTGGAAGTCTGAGCCAATTTGTCTTGAGTATTTTCTTTGTGAGCCTGGAACTGTCCCCCAGCCTCTTTCCTTTAAACATAGTTCAGAGGGCTTTAAGAAAAAGCACTGTAGTTTTTATGCAAGGCAAGATGCCCTTCCTAGCAGAGAGTACATTGAACCATCCATCTATAGTTCTGTAGCCTGAAAGACTTAAATTGTTTAACCTCAGCGTCTTTGTCCACCCTGTTGAACTGCTATGGATTCTGTTTTCTTTAAGGTTTTGGAGGAGTTGCTGGGTGTGTATTATCCCTCAGTGTAAGTCTTGCATTCCTTTGCCTGGTGTGTGCTTTATTCCTTTGTCTGTGTTTGTATTATTACTCGGTGTAAGTAAGTCCATCCACACAATGCATTCCTTTGCCTGATTCACTGCCATACATGTGTCCTGCATAGTTTTAAACTAAGGCCTCAGAAACTGTTCTTGCTGTGTCTACAACCTGTCATAGCTGGTGACTTTTAACAGTTGAGGCAAGCGGATCTCTGAGTTAGAGGCCAGCCTGGTCTACAGAGTGAGTTCCAGGACAGCCCAGGCTATAAAGAGAAATCTGGTCTCGAAAAAACAAACAAACAAACAAAAAAAACAGTTGAGGCAAATGGCCTGTCACTTGCATAGGTTCCTGTCACAGGTGATCCATGAAACTTCTCTGCTGAATAGAATTTAGGACAAAAGATCCACCTTCCTTCCAGGCCTGGGGAGAATCAGACTGTGGAATAAAATACCACACCCTTCAGTTCCACTGCCCCACCTTGCTTTTAAAATAAAGTTCCTCCTAACATGTCCCAAATGCCAAATGTGGCAAGTGACCGGGCACAATCTTTAGTTTGCTGTTCCTACCAAGGGATATACAGAGCAGAATCCCTAAAGACACTGACCCCTTCCCTCTTAGCCAAGTGGTGCTGGGTCTCTCTGCACCAGAGGAAGTTTCTAAACACACTCGAGTCCATAATCCTGGAAAGCAAGAATGAAAAATGACACTCGGCCATTTCTCTTCTGCCAGAATTTGGCATTCAGATAGCCCAAGCATCATGTGTTCTGACTAGATTTTCCCAGAGTCAAGGCCCTGACTATGGACACTCCCCCTAGAAGATATCCCATCAAATGACCATCCTCCTCCTTCTGGTAAGTGATAACTCTTAGCCTGTTTCCGCACCTGCAGGGATTTCCTAACTCTTAGCTGTTCACATGAGTCTAAGTATAGAATACATCCTGTCCCATCTACTCTCCCAAA